GTTCCTCTCTCCCTCCCTCCCTGCTTCCTTCCCTTTCTTCTTCCCTCCCTCCAAGTAGTCTTAAAAAAGACACAGAATAGGTGTCCAAATATATTTGTTGAACTGAACCAGAGTTTGGGGCCCAGAAAAGCTATGACAAACCTAGAGAGCATGTTAGAAAGCAGAGACATCACCTTGCTGACAAAGGTCCATACAGTCAAAGCTATGGTTTTCCCAGTAGTCATGTACCGATGTGAGAGTTGGACCACAAAGAAGGCTGAGAGCCAAATAATTGATGCTTTCGAATTATGGTGCTGGAGAGGAGTCTTTGAGAGTTCCTTGGACAGCAAGGCAATCAAACCAGTCAATCCTAAAGGAAATCAACCCTGAATATTCATTGGAAGGACTGATGCTGAAGCTCCAACATGTTGGCTGCCTGATGCGAAGAGACGGCTCGTTGGAAAAGACTCTGATGCTGGGAAGGATTGAGGGCAGGAGGAGAAGGGGACGACAGAGGATGAAACAGTTGGATGACATCACCGACTGGATGGATATGAATCTGAGCAAACGCCGGGAGATGGTGAAGGACAGGGAAGCCTGGCGTGCTGCAGTCCATGCGGTTGTAAAGACTTGGACACGACTTAGCGACTGAACAACAACAATAACCGGTCCCTCTATGGAGCTCTCTGAAACTTACTTGAGTGAGGAAGCAGAGTGCTGAGAGACTCAAGAGATCTGCGTTCCGGATGAGAGGAAGGGGCAGCGGATAAGGAGCCAGTGATCAGCCAGCCCAGCTGCTCTTGTGGAGCTCAAATCAAAGCAGGAGGCGGACATGCTGGCAGTGAGTGGGGATCCGGAACCTGAGTCTGGCCACCTGGCAGTTTCCAGACTCCCTGGACCAGCTGGCTCCTCATGCACCCTGAGCTCCTCCCCAGTCCACACTGGGCTGCTGGCACTCAGCCACTCTCAGAGCAGCCCTCGAAAGTGAAGTGGAAGGAGTCGAAATTGCATGCAAATCAGGGACAACTGATCACTGGACAGCCTTGGGGAATTGCCTGCTCTGCCCAGACCTGACTTTTGTCCTTTGTGAAAAAGGGTTACTTTTCAGGATTAATGAAAAAAATACAGCTGAAAAAACATGGCTTCAGAAACCCAAGTCAAAGGGCTTGGAGTTGTGGCTTAATGATGGTGGCTTCTGGCCCAAACTGAGGTGTCTCTGTCCTGTTTCTTCTCCTTCTCTAGCCCCCTGAATCAGTTCCCTGGCGACTCAGATGGTAAGTTCAGTTTAGTTGCTTAGTGTTGTCCGACTCTTTGCAGCCCCATGGACCTCAGCACGCCAGGCTTCCCTGTCCATCACCAACTCCCGGAGCTTACTCAAACTCATGCCCATCAAGTCAGTGATGCCATCCAGCCATCTTATCCTCTGTCGTCCCCTTCTCCTGCCTTCAGTATTTCCCAGCATCAGGGTCTTTTCAAATGAGTCAGTTCTTCGCATCAGGTGGCCAAAGTATTGGAGTTTCAGCTTCATCATCAGTCCTTCCAATGAATATTCAGGACTGATTTCCTTTAGGAAGGACTGGCTGGATCTTCTTGCTGTCCAAGGGACTCTCAAGAGTCTTCTCTAACACCACAGTTCAAAAGCATCAATTCTTCAGATGGTGAAGACTCTGCCTATAATGCAGGAGACCCAGGTTTAATCCGTAGATCAGGAAGTTCCCCTGAAGAAAATGGCTACCCATTCTAGCATTCTTGCCTGGAGAATTCCATGGACATAGGAGTTTGATGTGCTACAGCCCATGGGGTTTCAAAGAGTCGGACATGACTAAGCGACTAACACACTTGAGAAGTAACACATTCAAAGGCATCAGCTTTGATGGCTTGGGCCTGGATCAGGAATACCATCTCTGTTACTTTTTTCCCATATAAATCGAGGGGAAACAACGAAAGAGAAGGAATTGGCCACCAGACAGGAGAGTGGGCAGCACTCATGTGAGGGGACTGTGTGGATGGAGGGAGATGCACAAGTGTTGTCAGAACTCAGGTCTGATGCTTGCAGCCTGCTGTCATCATGCAGAGATGTGGGTCTCTGGAACTTCCATATTCCCCCAAAGCACTGAGACCCAAGGCTCCCCAGGGACCCTGCTTGTCTTTTCTCTCCTCCTCCTCTGGCTACGGCTAAATCCCTTTCTCTGCCTTGGCCACTGGGCAGCCACCCCCAAGCCTTCAGGTCCATGGGGGATGCTGTGGGGTGAAGAGGACGCTGATTGGACACTGGCCGCAGGCTCCGCCCTTTGGGAGGAGCCAGTGCTGATGTGAATGGACAGCCTAGGCCTCCTGGACGCTGGAGCCCAGGCCTCCTGGACGCTGGAACCCAGGCGCAGAGCCAGGATTTGGAGCACATGTACTGGTGCCAGGAGGCTAAGAGGCTCCCACGGTCCTAAACCAGTACCCTCGTTCCCCACCTCCATGTAAACAAGTAAACCCAAGCATCCTGCCTGTTACCCTGTGTCCCCGAAGGAAAGCAGCCATTCTCGGGGCTTCCCTGGTGGTCCAGTGGCTAAGACTCCCAGTTCCCAATGCAGGGGGCCCAGGTTTGATCCCTGGTTAGGGAATTAGGTCCCATGTGCCACAACTGAGAGTTCACATGCCGAAACTAAAGATCCCGTGTGCTGCAACAAAGACTGAAGATCCCGCATGACACAACTAAGATCTGGCACAGCCAAAAAAATAAATACATTTTTTAAAAAAGAAAGAAAGAAGAAGGAATTCTCTCTGGAAAACTCCAGGGCACTTCCCGCTGTCCATAAGCTAGAGGTGCAGCCTTGGGAGTACAAAGGAGCCCAACACACAGTGATCATGTCAGAGGGTGGGGCTCCGACTCCACTGGGGAACCAGAGTTTGGACGTTGGGAGACACAGAACAGGTCTTGTGCAAATCACCAGACACCCAGGGAAGTCTCCTGACAATGGATTTGATGAATTCCTCATCACCAAACAGCAAAATTTTCCATCAATGTGCTCATGGACCCCGATTCTCACAGAGGCCCCCAAAGGGAAACTGACATGCATGTCTGGGGGTCAGGGGACACCCAACAAGCTAGATCTTGGCTTCCTGGGAGGGAAGAGGCTGGGTGCTGTCAGCGCCGAGAGGACTTCAGCCCATTTCCTTCCGGCCCCATTTTCAGGACAGAAGGCCTCCCGTCTTCTCGGAATTCACTTTTCCACGAACAGAAGGGGCAGCTGCTCCCACCGTGGGCTCCCTGGTCTTAAGAGATGGAATGGCTGCGGGCAGCAGGAAGGGGCAGATCAGGGTGCTCAGCTGGGTCACCTGCAACCCTCCTCTGCCACACAGCTGTCCTCACCTACCTGACCCTCCTAATCTGGAGTCAACAGGGAGTTAGCGAGCAGATACCAAATGTCAAGTTCTGTCCTGCTTTGGGCGGAGACGAGTGCAAGGGTAGGCTGGCTGTGTCCCAGCCCCACGGGGTGAACCATCATTGCCTTTAATCAACCAGAAGCCCTCTGCCAAGTCCCAGGAACTGCTTCCTGGCCTGGGAGCTGGAAAAATACCGATGAGTCTACCGGCAGAGCAGGAACAGGGAGGCAGATTAGAGAACGCACTTGTGGATACAGCAAGGGGAGGAGGGGGGACGAGTTGAGACAGTAGCATTGACATAATACACTACCATGTATAAAATAGCTAGCTAGCTATTGTTTAGTCGCTAAGTTGTGTCCGACTAGTTTGCAACCCCAGGGACTGTAGCCTTCCGGGCTCCTCTGTCCATGGGATTTCCCAGGCAAGAATACTGGGAGTGGGTTGCTATTTCCTTCTCCAGGGGATCTTCCTGACCCAGGGATGGAACCCATGTCTCCTGCATTGGCAGGCGGATTCCTGGTTACCACTGAGCCACAGAGAAGCCCATGACAGTCAGTGGGAAGCTGGTATGTAACACGGGGAGCTCAGCTTGCGGCTCTGTGATGACCTAGAAGGGTGGGATGGGGGAAGGTGGGAGGGAGGCTCAAGACGGAGGGGATATATGTATACTTACGGCTAATTCACGTTGTGTACAGCAGAAACCAACGTAACATTATGAAAAAATTATCCTCCAATTAAAAATAAATTTAAAAAAAGCGAACCAGACTGAGTTGGGAATTGCTCACATGTATTTATTTCACAAGTCGGGGGGGGGGGACTTTCACCAGTAAGATGCCACCAGATGAGACACTGTGAACCCCAAATTGGGCAGGGACAGAGTTTGGTTCTGGGCCGGGCTTGTCCGGACAGCATGAGGGAGACAGATGGGAACCGGCGGAAGGGCAGCCTTCCATCTGGGGCAGCACAGCGGGCAAGGCCCAGCCACATCCTCCCGGCCAATGACCGTGGCCACCCCCTCCCCACCTCCGGCAAGCTTCTTCGCATCCTTGACCTGATCCGGGTGGGCAATAAAGCGACAAGTCCAGGGCCACACCTCTACGTCTGCGCTACCATGCACTCAGACGCACACACCCAGATACACACACACACACACACACACACACACACACACACACACCCACCCATGCACGCACTAACGCGCCCCACCAGGCACACAGCCTCATACGCATGCACACGCGTCCATATATTAACTCTGATTTATAAGTGAACCCTAACCAGAGGGCAATCGGAAAAATATTATTACTCTTCCGAGAGGACTCAGCTGCCTTCTCCCGTCAGCCAGCAGACTGCGGGGAGACACGAGATGAGCACCCTCCAGGGCCCTGGCCCCCTGGGCCGTGCCGATGGCAGTCTTTAAGCCCCAGGTGGAGGCTGTTTGCCGCCTCCTCTGCGGCAGTTCACGGCGCGTCTGGGGGATGCTCCGCCCTGGGCAGGTAGGGCGCAACAGCCCGTTCCAGCCTGGGGCCCCTCCCAGCCGAGGCCGGCCGTGTGCTCTCTGGCTCCCTCTTGAGGACACAGGCGGAAGAGCTGGCACATAGGCACCGTAGTGCCCAGGTGACCACGGAAGCATCCTCCCACGACGCCCCACCAGGCACACAGCCTCATACGCATGCACACGCGTCCATATATTAACTCTGATTTATAAGTGAACCCTAACCAGAGGGCAATCGGAAAAATATTATTACTCTTCCGAGAGGACTCAGCTGCCTTCTCCCGTCAGCCAGCAGACTGCGGGGAGACACGAGATGAGCACCCTCCAGGGCCCTGGCCCCCTGGGCCGTGCCGATGGCAGTCTTTAAGCCCCAGGTGGAGGCTGTTTGCCGCCTCCTCTGCGGCAGTTCACGGCGCGTCTGGGGGATGCTCCGCCCTGGGCAGGTAGGGCGCAACAGCCCGTTCCAGCCTGGGGCCCCTCCCAGCCGAGGCCGGCCGTGTGCTCTCTGGCTCCCTCTTGAGGACACAGGCGGAAGAGCTGGCACATAGGCACCGTAGTGCCCAGGTGACCAGGGAAGCATCCTCCCACGTCATCTCAGGGGTGGGAGTCCAGCAAAGTCCAAGGCCACCCGCTGGAAAGGTTTGGGGCGGTGATCTTGGGCTGTAAACGGGCATCTGGGCCGAGGCAGCCTGGAGGAAACTGAGTCCTAGGGCCTCGCTGCCTTCTTGGAGGAAGAGGAGGAGCTAGGATGTGGCCCAGACCCCTCCCCTTTGTTGAAGGCTGCGGAGAAGCTGCTGTGAGATGAGAAAAAGGAGGGGCCCCTGCCAGTCCTGTCCTGACGGCGGGTGGGAAGATGACCAAGAGGAGATGTGATGTGTTGCTCCTTGGTACCAGGTCCACATCCGGGCTGCAGAAGACACAGCTTCTGGGTTCCCAGAGAAGGGTCAGGGGCCTTTCCCAGGGTGCATGAGCCTCGGGAAGCTGGATGCCTGATGAAGATACAGAGTCTCCACCGGGGGCGGGGGGCTGCCCTGGAGAAGCCCCACTGAGCACCCCCCGCCGGTGTCTCGCTGTTTCTCTCCCAGTATGGCTGGTCCAGAGGACGGCAGGCCCTGTCCCGGGGGCCCGGCTCCCCCACTACTTGATGGAGTTCTTGATCGTCCACCTCTGCCCCGTGCAGCTGCGGAGGGTGAGGTCAATGCCCGCCAGGCCCCGGTTCTCCACCTCCAGGCAGCGGCCGGTGCCTCTGTTCATGATGGCGCCATTCTGGGAGGATGCGGAGGTGAGAGGAGGGGAGACAGACAGACAAGGAGGGAGACAGCAATGGAGAGACAGAGACAGGACCAGAGAAAGACGGACGACAGAGACAGAGACAGACAGAGACAGAGAAAGATGGACATCAGAGACAGAGAGAGACAGAGACAGAAGGACAGAGAGAGAGGCAGAGAGACACAGAAAGATACAGAGAATGAGAGAGACAGAAAGAGGAGAGGGAGACAGAGAGATAGCGATGGAGAGACAGAGACAGGACCGCAGAGACAGAGAGACAGAGACAGAGAGAGAGAGACAGAGATAGAAAGAGACACACAGAGAGACAGGGAGAGGCAGACAGGGAAAGGAGGTGGGGAGTGGGTAGAGAAAGAGATAATGACCATAGTGCCTGGGGGCACTTATATATTATAAGAGGGAAAGGCCCCTGGGATCCCCCCGAACATGCTGAGTCTAGCACCTGGCCTCGAGCTGGGAGACCTTGGGTTGCACTTTGATGGTGCCCTTCCGAGGGAAGCCCGTGGCATCCTCACCTGCTCCGGGCCGCCTGCCCGGCCTGTCCGTGGAGGGCTCACCTGGATGAAGTTCCAGCGCTTGTACAGGCTGCTCTTGACCTTGTCGCAGTCCAGGAGCTGGGGCAGCCGACTCTTGGCATTGTCCACCAGGCAGCGGGTGTCGGGGAGGAGCGTGGTGGTCCCCAGGGCGCCCAAGTGCAGGAAGCCCTCCTTGGTGTAGCGAGCCAGCTGGGGAGAAAGCAGAGTGGCAGGGCCGTGGGAGGCAGAGGGGAGACCACCACAAGGGGCCATGGGTGCCCCATGACGGTCCGGGCTGCAGTCCCGGCCGCCGTCTCAGGCCTGGAGCTGCCCCCCACCCACCCCAACCCCTCTCATAGGAGCACCCTGCCCAGGAGACCCTCGACTTGCCAAGCCTGGACACAGATTCCCTGGCCCCCTCTGACTTCTTCCTAAGCATGTCCACAGTCAGTGTTTCAGGAGTCTGGCCTTCTGTTCAACCACACGGGGAGCAGGAATAAATGAAAAAGCGGGACATTCGAATTCTAATGTTGGCTCTGCTTCCAGCTGGCTGGGCCAACCCGAACAAGTCACTTGACCTCTCTGAGCCTCCATTTCCTCCTCATTTGTTAACTGGGATCAATTAAATCTACCCTGCTGCAAAAGGGCCCAAAGAGGCAGCTCACTGAAAAGAAACAGGCATGTTAAAAAGCATGCAACATGTTAGGTGTTAAAATAAATAAAAATCAAAACAATGAGACACCATATTTTAAAAAAGAGAGATTATTTGCATTCTGTCAAGGTGAGCCTAAGATGGGCTGGAGGTAGGGTAAATGACTACCACCTTTCAAAAAGCAATTTCAAAATATGAACTTTGAACTTTTAAAATGTTCCTCTCCTTTGATCCAATCAATCTAGTTTTAAAAATCTTGGAAATTCCCTGGAAGTCCAGTGGTTAGGACTCGGTGCTTTCATTGCTGAGGGCCCAGGTTCAATCCATGATCAGGGAGCTAAGATCCTGTAACTGTGTGGCACAGCCAAAAACAAACATACAAAAAACCCAACCAAACAAAAAGACCTTCCAACTATCCCAAGAAAATAATTATAACTGTGAACAAAAGTTTATGTAGGGAGGGTGGGGGACGAGGAGGACCAGGATGAAGGCAGTCAAGAAGTACAAACTTCCACCTATGAGATACAGAAGCACTAGGGATGTAATGTACACCATATAATTAACACTGCTGTATATTACATATGAAAGTTAAAACAGTAAATCCTGAGTTCTCATCACAAGAAAAAAATTTTCTTTTTCTATTTCTTCAATTTTGTATCCATGTGAGTTGATGGATGTTCACTAAACTTAACTCTGATAATCATTTCAAGCTGTAAGTCAAATCATTATGCTGCACACCTTAAACTTATTCAGTGCTGTATTCCAGTTACATCAGTAAAGTTGGAAGAAAAAATTTACATACAGGGTATTTTGCATCCTCAGTCAGTCAGTCATGTTTGACTGTTTGTAACCAAAAGGACTGTAGCAAGCTCCTGTGTCTATGGAATTTTCCAGGCAAGAATATTGGAGTGGGTTGGTGTTTCCTACTCCAGGGGATTTACTGCAATGTTATTTCTAATGATGAAAAGGCAGAAATATCCTAAATGTGCAGTCCAGTGCTGGGTCTTGCCCTGTGCTCCATGTACTGCAACAAATGGTAGGTAGCATGGGGTGGATTCCCAAAGTGGTCACATCTTTCTGGGCGACATGACTTTGCTGTAATTTCCATTAAGAAGTGGAGTCTCTTTCCTCATCCTGGAATACTGGTTGGCCTTGTGACTTGCTTTGACCAACAGAATGTAGCAGAAAGGAGGATATGTCTATTCCTGGTATACAGTTTGCCTATTTCCACCCTCCTGAAACCTTAGTGCCACCGTGGCAGTGAGCCCAAGCTGGCCTGCTAGAGGATGGTAGACACATGGTTCAAGCAACCAGCTGGTCAACCATCAGACAAGTAGATGAGGTCATCATGGATCAGAGAGTGTTTGGCCAATCTGCTAGCTGATGGGAGACACACGAGTGAATCCAACCCAAATCATCTGAGCCTGGTCCAGATAACAGAACCACTCAGCTGATCTTTAGACTCATCAGTTCAGTTCAGTTCAGTTGCTCAGTCGTGTCCAACTCTTTGCGACCCCATGAATCGCAGCATGCCAGGCCTCCCTGTCCATCACCAACTCCCAGAGCTTACTCAAACTCATGCCCATCAAGTCGGTGATGCCATCCAGCCATCTCATCCTCTGTTGTCCCCTTCTTCAAGTAATAATAAATGTATACTGTTTTATGCCACTAAAGTTTGGGGGTAGTTATTACACAGCGATCTGATACACAGATGATGTTGTCTGCCAACCCTTTGCACAACTAATTGTGAATCCATACTAGTTTGGTGTCTTGGCCTCTCTTGCCTGCTCATGTTGTGTAAATCCCTATATTCCAATTTTTGAACAAATACATTCACCTGTCTTTCACACTCCTTTGGGGGCAGGGACTGTGTCTAATGTATTTCATTCCTTTCGAGGAGACAATCACAGACCAAGGGCTCCTGACATGGTTGTGAATAAGCACACGACAAATGTGATGAACGTCATTTACAAAATGCAGCCACGGCTATTTCTTGAAACTACACAAACATGTCCTCTGTGTGCCCAGCCTGGGGACAGGCAGTGGAAATACAAGCATGAGGCTGTGTTCCCACTGAGATGATTCCAGTGCAGCCGGCCAAAAGCAAACAAAAACCTCAAGGTTGGTCCCAACAACCCAAGAAGGGCCGGAACCGCAAGGAAGAACAATAAGAAAAAAAAAAACCCCCAAACCAATAAAAAAAAAAAATAACAACCAACAAGGGGTGGAAGCAACCCTGGCCCCAAGGAAAAAAAAAAGGAAATTCCAAAAAAAACCAAGAAGTAAGGGCCAACAACCCTCCCGGTTCAAAAAAAAAGAAAAAAACCCGGAAAAAACCGGGTAAACCGGCCGGGCCCCAACCTCCAACCCTGGGGTCCCAAAAAACCAAGGGGTGGCAACCCCGGCCCAAGAACCGAACAACCAAAGGAACCCCCCCCAAAATGAACCCGGGCCTCCGAAAACCCGGGCAATTCCGGCCAAAAAAGGAACAAAAAAAAAACCCCGCCCCGGAAAAAAGGGCCCTTTCCCCAAGGGAAAAAAACCCCCGGAAGGAATTCCCCTCCAATGAAAACTGCTCAGAAACCCTCTGCTCTGATCCCCAAAGGGAGTCTTCCTGATCCCCTCAGAAACAAGTGACAGGGAGTTTATTAAATGCCCTTGAAAGAGAGAGATGTGGACCTATTTCCACCCTCCTGAAACCTTAGTGCCACCGTGGCAGTGAGCCCAAGCTGGCCTGCTAGAGGATGGTAGACACATGGTTCAAGCAACCAGCTGGTCAACCATCAGACAAGTAGATGAGGTCATCATGGATCAGAGAGTGTTTGGCCAATCTGCTAGCTGATGGGAGACACACGAGTGAATCCAACCCAAATCATCTGAGCCTGGTCCAGATAACAGAACCACTCAGCTGATCTTTAGACTTATCAGTTCAGTTCAGTTCAGTTGCTCAGTCGTGTCCAACTCTTTGCGACCCCATGAATCGCAGCATGCCAGGCCTCCCTGTCCATCACCAACTCCCAGAGCTTACTCAAACTCATGCCCATCAAGTCGGTGATGCCATCCAGCCATCTCATCCTCTGTTGTCCCCTTCTTCAAGTAATAATAAATGTATACTGTTTTATGCCACTAAAGTTTGGGGGTAGTTATTACACAGCGATCTGATACACAGATGATGTTGTCTGCCAACCCTTTGCACAACTAATTGTGAATCCATATTAGTTTGGTGTCTTGGCCTCTCTTGCCTGCTCATGTTGTGTAAATCCCTATATTCCAATTTTTGAACAAATACATCCACCTGTCTTTCACACTCCTTTGGGGGCAGGGACTGTGTCTAATGTATTTCATTCCTTTCGAGGAGACAATCACAGACCAAGGGCTCCTGACATGGTTGTGAATAAGCATACGACAAATGTGATGAACGTCATTTACAAAATGCAGCCACGGCTATTTCTTGAAACTACACAAACATGTCCTCTGTGTGCCCAGCCTGGGGACAGGCAGTGGAAATACAAGCATGAGGCTGTGTTCCCACTGAGATGATTCCAGTGCAGCCGGCCAAAAGCAAACAAAAACCTCAAGGTTGGTCCCAACAACCCAAGAAGGGCCGGAACCGCAAGGAAGAACAATAAGAAAAAAAAAAACCCCCAAACCAATAAAAAAAAAAAATAACAACCAACAAGGGGTGGAAGCAACCCTGGCCCCAAGGAAAAAAAAAAGGAAATTCCAAAAAAAACCAAGAAGTAAGGGCCAACAACCCTCCCGGTTCAAAAAAAAAGAAAAAAACCCGGAAAAAACCGGGTAAACCGGCCGGGCCCCAACCTCCAACCCTGGGGTCCCAAAAAACCAAGGGGTGGCAACCCCGGCCCAAGAACCGAACAACCAAAGGAACCCCCCCCAAAATGAACCCGGGCCTCCGAAAACCCGGGCAATTCCGGCCAAAAAAGGAACAAAAAAAAAACCCCGCCCCGGAAAAAAGGGCCCTTTCCCCAAGGGAAAAAAACCCCCGGAAGGAATTCCCCTCCAATGAAAACTGCTCAGAAACCCTCTGCTCTGATCCCCAAAGGGAGTCTTCCTGATCCCCTCAGAAACAAGTGACAGGGAGTTTATTAAATGCCCTTGAAAGAGAGAGATGTGGTTAACATGTGTTTTAAACCCAAATTAGTTTCAAATCAGAGTAATTGTTACAGGCAAAATGGTAAAAAAAAAAAAAAGAAAAAAATCAGAGGCCCTCCCCCATCCCTCCTTCAACAATGTCTCTCTGAATATATTCAAATTCACCAAATGCAAAGTGATGAATGACAGCAAGCTGCCTTTATGTTCGGGGGAAAGATATACACAGCTGCTTATTGAAATTATGAATCAATCTATTATCCAGCAGGCACACGAGCAGCGCTAAGAACATTAATTAACTGAGCGTATCTGTGACCCAGATGTTTAAAGAGCGAAGCTAAATGCCACTGGGATTAGAAGCTCTCCTTTCTGAGGTCTTTCAGGCCATGAAAACAGGGAGACCCAGACTTCCGGGACCTGTAAAGGCCAGCCCCCAGCCCCCAGCCAG